AAGTGGGATGTAGCATTTGGTCTTTCTTTAAAAGGGTGACGTCCTGAATCTTTTTTTGTAGTGTTCAGTGCCATCCCTCCTTCTCTCGGCAGTGCGACTGAAACATAAGAAGCATTATCGGAAAGGTGCTGAGATGAAAGGAGTCAACGCATCTCCTGACGTTGATTAAATTGCCACCTGATGAAATTCTGGCAGGAACGGCAGTCCCTCTAAGGGTTCTCGGCCCCCTCTCGGGAAAGGCCCTTCCCGCTCACTCCAGTCACAGCACAACACTCCCCAGCCATCCCTCGGAGCCCATAGAAAGAGAGGACTGCAAGTCACCCAGCCCCATCCCCTGCTACTGCAGCCGCCCCAGCACACATCGCTGTTCAGAAACGGGCCCACTCCTAAGGGGCTTTTTGGCTGGACCGCTCTACAGTCAGGAACCTTCTTCTGATTCCCAGCCCGTTTATCCGTGGCCAACGCAGAGCTTTTTGTTGTCCTGCTAGCTTGGTCCTTTCGTTAAAACCCCTCTCCTCCCTCACTGGTGTTCACTCAACGTATTTACAGGCAGTCCTGTCCCCGGACAGCTTGCATTTTGCCAGACTCAACAAGACAAACTCCTTCAGTCTCCTCTTCGAAGACCGGCCCTCTCTGTCCCCTGACAATTCCCGGTGGCCCTTCTCAGCACCTGCTCCGGTCTGGATCAGCTCTCTCGAACCCGGCTGCCCTGCAGCGTATGCTGTATTCCAGAGGGAGCGTTACTATCCTCGTGTGACAGAAGAGCACAAAAGATACAAGAGGGATCTCTGCAAGTGTCCAGAACAGACTACACATCTTGTACTCAGTGTCACGAGTCCAAAGCCACCTCTCCTCTTCCACAGCACAAGCTCCCTGAAACTCAGCACTGTATCCAGTCCCGCAGGGCCCTGCACCAACGCTGCATGCAACAGCACGGGATGTCGGTCATTTCTAGGGCAAGCAGCGTCACACCTACAAAGGATCCAGCGAGAAGCCCTTATTCCCAGACAAGGCCGAGGCTGCCTTTACCCTCAAGACGTCAGAAGCTGACATGCAACTCCAGCTGGACTCCAGGGGCCTCCAGGCACTCTGTCCTGGGATGGACAGGCTCTACCAATTTCAGTGGCCTCCTCCTCCTCCACAGGCAGCTTATAATCTGCTCCAAATTCAGTGTGGTCTTTCGGTTCCTCAGTGCTTTTGGCCCCCCCAAACCCCTTTCATACACATTCTGCAAAGAGAAGACAGCACTTAGGAAACCGCCAAGTGAAAGCAGTGGTTCCATGTCCTGCCCAAGCAGGTCATGCCATAACCGTGTCCCTCTGGACCGCTTCCTGATGATCCCGAGGGTGGAGGGGATGCACTGTCTACCTCAACATCACCTCAGTTGCTGGAGATAAGCTCTTGCAACACTGCTGGCTTTTCATGCCTGAGTAATT